ACAGGGCCTCGCTCGAGTTTTGGGGTTTAGGGTTGAGGGTTTTAGGGTTATAGGGTTTAGGGTTGAGGGTTTTAGGGTTTAGGGTTGAGGATTTTAGTGTCTAGGGCTTCAGGGCTTTTGGGGTTTGGGGTTTGGAGGGCTGAGTACGTAGGTACTCTTTCGCCTTTCTGGGCGAAATATATTTTATGTTAAGCCCGGTTCTAATACATTATATATTCAGCCCTCTTGTAACACTAAACCCTAAAACCTAAACCGTTTAGTCCACTTCCAGGGAATGATATTGCTTCAGCATAAGGTTTCGGGGTTTGGGCCTGCAGGTTCTCAGGGTAGTCACGCGCGCAGTAGCGTCTGAAGCTTGGATGAATAAGTGCGGTTTAGGGTTTAGGGTTTAGATCTAAGGTAGAACCCATTGGCCCCTAGTATGGGCCCTTAACCCTGGGACCCTAATATACCTACTATATACCCTATATATACCCGCAAGGGACGCTAGAATCCCCTAAGGGCCCATGTTAGGGGCCCATGGGTTCAACCATAGATTAGAGTTTAGGGTTTAGGGTCAGGGTTTCCGGCGTTGTCTTGTTGTGGAAAGGGTAGGTTCCTGTCTACCCGTATGGGAGTCTTCTCACCCGTCCTTCCGGGAGGCTTTAGGACTCTGTTTTGGGGGGTTAGGGAGTCTAATATAGGAGCCTTAATAGTTCGAATAGGGTTCTGGGGCCCATTATACTATAACTTTAATAAGGAACCCCCTGACACCCTATTCTAATCATTCAGGCCCTTATAGTAAACCCTTTTTGTAGCCCAGAAAGTAACCCCTATAGACCCCTTTAAAGTAACATTTTAAAGGACCCCTATTCTAATTATATTAGGGCTCTAGGGATTTAGGGAGTCTTCATAGGTTTCATAATCTCCCCATTGTACTTCCTTTTTGGGGATACCTTATAAAATCCTTAATATATAACTAGTTAAACCAAAAAAGGAACTACCCTAAAACCTAAACCCTACAATGGAGACTACTACTATAGGTACATAGGTTTCATAATCTCCAGGCACCGGCCTCTACGACAACTTGGAGAAGTACCAGCTGCCGACCCCGGAGTCTGTTTCTGGGTTCACGTTAATAAGGCTGTAATCCGAGGGTTTAGGGGGTTTAGGGTTTAGGGTTTAGGCTTAAGGGATTAGGGTTTAGGATTTAGGGTTTAGGGTTTAGGGTTGAGGCTCAAGGGATCAGGATTCTTGTTAAGGATTTAATCTAAGGATTTTAGGGTTTAGGGTTTAGGGATTAGGGTTCTTGTTAAGGACTTAATCTAAGGGTTTAGGGTTTAGGGTTTAGGCTTGAGGGATTAGGGTTCTTGTTAAGCATTAATCTAAGGGTTCAGGGTTTAGGATTTCGGAGTTAGGGTTTAGGGTTCAAGTTATCAAAATAAAGAAACCATACGTCTTTCTATACCTATAGCCCCTACGGTCTCCATTGTGGTTAGGATCCTATGATATGAACTTGGCTAAACAAAAAAAAGGAACTGCAATGGAGACTATAGGCAGATCCTTATTATGGTAGCTCAAAGGAGCCTCCTTAGCAAGAACCCTAAACCCTTAACCCTAAACCCTAGAACCCTAAACCCTGAACCCTAAACCCTGAACCCTAAAATCCTAAACCCTGAACCCAGAACCCTGAACCCAGAACCCTAAACCCTGAACCCTAATCCCTTAACCCTCAACCCTAAACCCGAAACCCTAAACCCTTTAAACCCAGAACGCAAACCCAGAACCCTAAACCCTAAACCCTAAAACCCTAAACCCTGAACCCAGGTTTTCACGCTGGACTATTTCAACGAGAAGCCCCAGCCGTTCTGCGACCTCGCCAAGGCGCCCAAAACCTCAAAGGGCCCAAAGTGCCGACATAGTAGAACGTAGGGTTTCTATGTTACGGCTGATGGACAAAATCCTGCATGACCTTATATACCTAAACTATGGGATTTATGGTACTATACTATATTTGGGTCATTGAGAATTTGCATCAGCCGTAGGAAGTACTATTATGATCTCGGGAAGTTTCCCCCATCCCTAAACCCTAAAACCTAAACCCTAAACCCTAAACCCGAAAGGAAGTCCTGGCACTTGAGGTTGAGTGATTTCGGGATCTCAAGGGTTCCTTTACAGGGTTTAGGTTTAGGGTTTAGGGTTTAGGGTTTAGGGTTTAGGTTCCCTGAAGGGTTCCTTAGAAAGGCTTGTGCAAGGGCTGCTATAAGGGTTCAGGGTCCCTAAACCCTAAACCCTAAACCCTAAACCCTAAACCCTAAACCCTAAACCCTAAACCCTAAGCCCTAAGCCCTAAACCCTAAACCGTGAGGTCAAAGTTTAGGGATTTGGGGTTCAGGGTTTGGGGTTTTGGCGTCTTGGGGTTGACGAATTCGGATCCCTCGGGTTCCTTTAAAGGGCTCCCTAGAGTTTAGGGTTTAGGGTTTACAGGGCAAAGTGTAGGGGTTTAGGGATTTAGGGTTCAGGGGTTTAGGGATTTAGGGTTCAGGGGTTTAGGGATTCAGGGTTCAGGGGTTTAGGGATTCAGGGCTGAGGGGGTTTGGGTTGAGGGCTTAGGTGGGCCGTTGGGACATTTTATACTTTCCCTTATGGGGCTTAAGAGGATCTTACTTACGAGGAATCTTCCAGAGGCTCTATTGGGCCAACCTGGTTTCGGGTTTAGGGGTTTCGGCATGAGAATATGTCATGTGCTTAGGGAGGGTTCAGGGGGGTTTGAGGATCCGTAAGGGTTGGCTAAAACTATCACGAGATCCGTCGTGGTAATGTTGCCATTCCAAAATGCAAATGGTGCATACTTTGGCCTCGAAGTAGTCCCGATTTGGGCACTTTGGGACCAATGTATATATAGTATAGTATATGAGTATATCCACCCTTAGGGAATGTGATTCAAAACGGTTGATGGCCTTGCAGCAGGAGTTGCTGCCGGGAAAGCATCTGCCGACACTGACTCACTGCTTCATCCGCCTGCTGGAAGAAACTTTGTCATAGTTGGGTAACATTTTACATTTTTAAGCGTACTTAAAGCCAATAAGGAATAGAAATTTAAATTTTTGATACTACCCCAACCATGAACTAGGAAAAGGGATTGCTTCAAAGGCTGTTGCTTGGAAACGATGTGCAGCAGCATTGTCTCTGTGCTTTCTTCGGTCGTTTGACAGCTTCTCGCATTGGGAATTGAACAGCATCTGTGAACCTTGTAGATACTAAACGCAGATCTGCTAAGGCTAGGAGCCGTTATCGTGTTTTTGTAGCAAATATAGAATTGCTCAACATCAACCGGTGGGTCCTGGGGCTGGCAGGTTCACTCAGAACATAGATGGCCTGGAACGTGTTTGTGGCACTTCGCCGGAGCTTCTGGTGGAAGCCCACGGATCCTTCGCCAACGCCCACTGCGTGGAATGCCGTCAGCAGCACGACGTGCTTCGCTGGCGCGACTGTATCGAGCCTTGGTCATTTCCAGAGACGTTCGATTGTACATGCTTCTTCTTCTAGTGCAAGTTACATTTCAACATATGTAATTAATATAAGGTACTCTGCTATACTGACTATACTATTCATAGTAGGTTCTGCTTCTGTTCGTTTGGGATCAACGGCGTCAACAACACAACTCCTAGCCGGGGGCTCCGGTGCGCCTGATGACATAGTGGACACGTCACTATGCAGATCTTGAAGCCTAAAGATAAGGTCTAAATATGTTTAAGGCCGGATGATGCTAGGACAGAAGCGGCTGAAGCAGCAAACGATGGAACTAATCGTTAATACAGACCTCGGAAAGTGCTGTCTCACATCAGGACAGTGTTACAGTGACAGCAAGCGGCATTAAACCACCTCCGATGTTCGTTCAAAACATGAGCTTATCTGGGCTTTGGAGTACCATACTTTAATACTTTTTTGGGACCTGTTCCTTAAAGGAACCATTATGAAAAAAAGTCTATACTTTTTTCTCCCTGGTTACTTCAAAGCCCAGTTATTCGCTATCCCGAAATACTGTCTCAAGCCCGCCATGGCAAAGGAGCGAAGTGAATTGCCACGATGTGGTTCTGTGAGGGCAATACCGAAGCCGCCCGCGAAGCCAACAGAGACCGAGATGGAGGAGGCAGGAGCTTTTGTGTTTCGGAGGGTGAGGGAACCCTAAACCCTAAACCCTAAACATTGGTTTGAAGAGCTTCATGCTAAATGCCTGCCAGGATTCTGCAACCTGTCATGCCCTGTCCCATGAGACGAATTAAGTTGAATGTCTTTCTACTTGTGTTTCACAGTTTGGGCTGCAAACCTCAAGCTAGGAGCCATAGGAGTGCGAAGAGATTATCAGCGCACGTCATTCCCGACGAATAGAACGCCGGTTGTGGTACAAACGTTTACAAAAAGTGCTGGCAACTTTGTCGCTGAGAGTCATAATGACAACAACAGCAACACTCCCTAACCTTCCAGGTACCTACTATATAGGGTACTGGAGCCCCTAAGGCCCTATATAGCAGGTACCCGGAGGCTTAGGGACTACTGAGTCGCCACTGCACGCAAAACAAACGGTTGATGATACAAATCCTGCATTACCCAGAATAAGGAATATATCAAGCTTTTGGGGGCTTGGGGACTATACCCATAGGCCCCATAGTAGTTCCTTTTTGGGGTTCATATATAGAATCCTATAAGGTAATCCCCAAAAAGGAACTACTATGGGGCCTATGGGTAGCTTTGAGATGGACCTGCTATTTTTATAACTTCTCTGAAGTTCGCATCATGTTCCAGCGTCCTTAGGTTGGTGCTCAATGTCGTTTTATTGTTTTGGCAAGAATCGTGGCTCAACCCGTCATGCGGGTTGTGCTTTGGATAACCCGTACCCTACTGCCCGACACCCGCGCTTGGGTTGACTGGCCTCCCGGTTCGAAAACTGCCAATGTAGGGGCCTTGATAGTTACCTATACTATTTTGGGTGGCTTCTTATCATAATTATAGTATAATGTACCCCAAAACCCTATCCTAATTACTAAGGCCCCTAAACCCTCAACCCTAAACCCTAAACCCGATCATAATCATATTCTAATGGGCCCCCCAAACCCCTATTCTACTTATTCATTAGGCTCCTACACCATAAAGCCTTATAGAAACCCTTCAAGACTCCTTTAAGAACCCTTTATAAAGGACTCCTTCCTATTCTACTTATTAAGGCTCCTCTATCACACCATGCAGGTCCGGACAGAGCTCGAGACTTTGCCTGCGTTGCGGGCAGAGGCCTTCACGGTTTAGGGTTTAGGGTGTAGGGTTTAGGGTTTTGGGTTTAGGGTTTAGGGTTTAGGAAAACGGCTTGGGGTTGTGGAGATAAGTGCGCAGAGCTCTAGGTTCGGGTCGAGATCTCCTACTTCAGTTGGGTATGTTTGGGGTTTAGGGTTTAGGGCTTTGGGTTTAGGGTGTAGGGTGTAGGGCTTTGGGTTTAGGGCTTAGGGTTTAGGGTGAGACTCATGTTGGAAAGGCTCAAGCCCATTCTATGTAGTTGTCACTCTGAGCCAGGAGACAACCTGAGAAGCACGTCATTTCAAGCCAGCGGCCCGGAGATACTTAAACCCTAAAAAGCCATATGCAGCTACAGTTGGTGATATGAATCCTGCATTACCTTACTGAGACTTTGGGAATTATGGTATATTCCTTAATCTATTCCTTAGTATGGGTACTGCAGGATTTACATCATCAACCGTATGACCATAACCCTATACGCCTAAACACCTACAACTACAAACTTATAGCCCCATAAACCGATAACCCTATAAGCCTATGAGACCTAAGCCAAAGACCCCCTAACATCAACATAACACCGGCGCCTCTCTCTGAACAGCCAAAGAAGCTAGCTATCTCGATTCCATAGCCTGAACCTGAAAGGGAAAGCCGCACCTTCCAGTTTTGGGGGTTTATAGTTCGGTAGTAAACCCTAAACCCTAAACCCCTAAACCCTAAACCCTAAACCCCTAAACCCTAAACCCTAAACCCTAAACCCTAAACCCAATCTGAAAGAGTTAGCATCTTTCCGTGGCAGTATTGGGGGGAGTCAGGAACGTATCTCGTAACTGGGTGCAGCAGGCTCCGATGGTGACTCTAGGCGACTGGCATAGTCAGGTAGCCAAAGACCCTCAACCCCACTAAAGCCTAGACCCTAAACCCTAAAACCCTAAACCCTAAACCCTAAACCCTAAACCCTAAAACCCTAAAGCCTAAACCGTAAACCCTCAACCCCAACCATTTTCCCGAAAGCCTGAAATCGATGCAATCCCGACCTGGAATCCTTGAGCCCAATGCTTGACCCAAAGATGCACGGCTTAGGGTTTAGGGTTTAGGGTTTAGGGTTTAGGGTTTAGGATGTCGCTTGGGAATGGCCCTTCATACCCAAAGAATTCCGCATGGAAGTCTGCTTGGAGGGTCGGGAGACTTAGTAAGTAGGTAATAAGTAGACTTATAAGTACCCGAAAAGGGACCCTAATTGGGGATATAGTACTTATACGTCTATAAAATAACCATTTACTAAGTCCCCCGACCCTCCAAGTGGGTGCTGCTGCAGTGACTACAGCTGTAGACACGCAGCTGGAGGAAACCCTTCATAATCTAATGGAGAAGGTTCTGGGACAGCCCGCCTATGGCATTGGATCGGTGAACTTGTCAGAAAGGTGGGTTGATTTGGTGAAGACAGACAAAGTGGTCGCCAAGGTCACGATTCCCTCTGACAAGGATCCCTCACATGACATTTCCGTGGAGTACGGCGTTCGACTAGCTACGACGACACGAGCTGTCGCCAATGCGAGCGATGAGGAAGAGCTTTGTTTCGAAGAGTTTGTTCAGCAATCCGATCTGCCAGTGGGGCAGTTTCCAGCTCCGTCGGAACTCGTGCGAAGCGTGAATGAGATGCTCTCCAAGGTATCGACCGGGGGACCGTCAGTGAAGTTTGGTAGAAATGGAGACTTCACCGCCCAACTACAGATGGTCCGAACTCTGCGGCCAGCGCCGTCGCCGGGATTTGCCGAACCCACTTCTTCCATTCCACCTCGCTATGACTCGACGACGGACTCTTTCGTAACGGGACCATTGCGACTGGAACTGCGGCCTCTGGTAGCAACCGTTTTCAAAGATGGCAGCCTGACCACTCCATGGGATATCTTCCACAATGTCAGCCCTGCCGACACTCGAGGCCATTTTCTTCTTTTGCCCACTCTGTCAGATCCCGACAAGAACTTGAGAGGCCAGATCTTTGAGCCTTCCGACTGTCAAGATATGGTGCATCTGACGAGTAGCATCGAACCTCCCGGTTCTTTGTTCTTGGGCTTCAACAGCGCAGGTGCTGGGGCAAGTCAGAACCACATCCATTGCCACGCTTGGCCTTCCCCGCCTATGTCTCTGTTGCATCAGGAGGAAGCGCCAGTTATCACAGCAGCAAAGGACGAGAAAAAGGAGGAAGTTGAAAACAACAATGGATGGGACTCTTATGCAGCAACTAAAGTTGGAGTTCTGTACGATATCTATGACCTTACTGACAGCCGTGTGGAAGCGTCATATCTGAAGTATCCGGTCTTTTGTGTCCAACTCTGCGCAGTGGAAGCGGAACTGGATCTACTGGGGCAAGCCCTGAAGGTAACTCTTGATGCGGTTGGTGGAGCCCCATTCAACATCGGATTTCTCAATCGTCTGGAAGAGCCTTTGCTCGACGAAGGAGAAACATTGGACAAAGCTCCTGTCACTGGGCTTTGGAGTACCATACTTTGATACTTTTTTTGTGGGACCTGTTCCTTAAAGGAACCATTATGAAATAAACGTCTATACATTTTTCTTCCTGGTTACTTCAAAGCCCAGGTCAAATTCGTGGATGTCTTTGTCTTTGCTCGTTCAAAGGAGCGCTCCCAAGCGGTTCCTTCCCTGAAGCTGGGTTGCTGTTAAAAGGAGCTGATTTTTCTTAACCATAAGGGGGGGTATATAGTCAATAGTAAGGTCTCCGTTTCATAGCAACTTACTTTAAATACCCTAACCCCAAATTAAACCTAATTATCATAATAACTTAGTTTAAGATTAAGTCCCTTAAGAGCAAACCAGGAAGATGGGAATCAGCGAGATGATGGGAGTCTTTCATGCGCACAGCGCCCAAGAGTTGGAGCTGCTTGCTTCAGAATTGGCGAACACCGAGCCTTCTGTTGTTGGGCAGGGTGGACACATGGTGCCTTAGATAGCCAATAGGAGTACTTTAAACTTTTGGGCCTTATCTATTAGGTCTATCCTAAAAAGTTTGAACTTTTTTGGGCCTGGTTGTTGAAGAAGAAAGGTGCAAGCTCTGAAAGACGTCTCTTTTCAGGATTCTGAGGCACTTTGGACGTCGATCAAGCAGAAACTGGCCGATCTGGACCGACAAGTCGCGGCCGAAACTCGGGTGCCAAAGGAGCTATCCGCAAGTACTAGCGTTGGACAAGAGTGGTCAACCACGCAAGGCTCGACGAAAGGAAAAAATCGGCGCATGAAGTGTCATCGAGCCCATTCTTCGCTACCCCAAAACGCAGCAGCAGGAATCCGCAGTTGCGCCTGCGTATCCATTTATCTAGGTCTAGAAACCCCCGAAGGTCAACAGTGCTTCATGTTTGGTGTGTTCAGAAGTGTCATCAACATAGTTTTTTCTATTATTTTACAGGTACATGTATTGTTCCGGTTATCGCTGCATTGCAGTGAGTGTCTTGCCAGAACTACAATCATGACATCTTCTCATGCTTGTTCCTATAGCTGCTACTCATTGCTAGTCCGCATGATATCTTTGAGTCGCGCTCTTATCTTGTAAAACTTGTACAAAACATGTAAACCAACAACTGATAGTGTGGTTGTAAGACTTCTTTTTGCTTGCATGTTGCTGAAGCTCCAAGAGATTAAGTTCGATTCTTTGTTGATTCTACTTGGGTTCTAAAGATGCACAAGACAAGCATATAATGTTAAGCCCATGTCAGTATGTAACTCTCCGGGCCATCCGAACTCATACTAAAGAATTGTATGTGGTAACCCGTAAGGAAACCCTCATAGACCCTGTTCTAGTGATTAAGACACCTTTCTGAACCTGACCCATCCGAAGGCCCCTATACTAAACCCTGATAGTAACCCTTAAAGGAGCCCTCTTCGTAACCCGAAAAGAAACCCTTATAGACCCCTTTATTAACCTTGAACCCTAAACCATAGAAATATACGGTAACCCTACCAAAAAGCTTATCAAAACCCTGTGGCATACTTACTCGTATATAACCCCGAGCCCTAGATCCCTTAAAGGAACCCCCGAGAAAACCTTGCAGGAACCCTTAGACTCAGTCTTATAGCAACCCTTCTAGACCCCTCTGTTTGCCCTCAACCCTAAACCCGTAAAGCCCTAAACCCCTAAACCCTGACACCCCTAAACCCCTAAACCC